GCATAGAGGTCAGGAGGAACACTTTTTACAATGAAGAACCTGAAGAGTATTCGACAGCAAAAAGTGAAAAGAAAAATCACAGCCTGATCTAAAGATATAAAGAGAGATGCAATGCAGGTATCTACCAACACATTACAAACGATATATTATTGAGACTTCACCCACTTATAACAGTCAGATCTCTTTGTAGAAAAGTACATCGCTGAATTCGGGCAGTTTATATTGAAGTGTGAACAAGTGGAGCCCACAGAAAACACCATATCCCAATATTTGTGAGGATAGAGACGCTCCGTTGGCAATGTAATACAGTTACCACCTTATTTAATGTTACAGGATATCCAGACCAAGGCCTTGAAGATGAAGAGACGACATAGCAGTATGAAGTCCACATCACCTCTCAAACAGTGTTCAACCATCGACTTGGGAAGCAAGAGCACATGCAGTGGTGCACAAAAACCGATCCTAGCAAAGTTGAGAAAAAGTGGAGCCCATCGGTAATCCCAAATCTATCTCAAACAAAAAAACTTCAAAAGTCAAAGCTTTTAGCATTGCATCAGATTGCCCAAACTAGAGGATGAACTCATTCACAGAGCCAGAAACAGTGAAAAATATAGATAGTAACACAGGAGACACTGAAGAAAATAACAATGCAAAGGAGTATAGCATTCAACTGAGGAAGGAGAATGCTAATAATCCGACGGATCTTTCAGATTGAGCCTATGAGAGAAACACCATTAAGAATAGTATTAATTGTCCTAAACGATTGATACCGTAGACATTGCATCATCAGCTAAGTGAATTTCATTTACTTATATAACCTACCTCCTACATTGCCCTACTTAGAGAGATTCAGCATGTTATCACTTCAGATAGCAATGAGATTTTTTTAACCATTTCCAAAAGACCTTATGGATTAAGATAGGTGCTAAGTTTCAATTCACTTCAAGAGTGCAACCAAGGACAGATGACCAAATAAGAGCCGTGAACCACAGCCTTGAAAATCTCCTTAGGTGATTTGTGGGAAAGTACATTAAATAATGAAACCCATGTCTTTCAAGAGAAGAAGAATATGTCTCCTCTACCCAAGGAGAATAACACGAAAGCTTCCAAGAGTTACATAACCCAGCGGATCACACGATTTTGCGGATCACGAGAATCCATATGTTGTGGGATCAATCTTGTGATCACGAGATGTAGAGAGGCCACAGATCTGCACGGTTTTTGTTATGTTTCAGCATATTTCTTTTTTTATTTATTTTCTATTTTTTCTTTCTAATTAGATTATTTTCTATTAGAAGATTATTATAAGTGGTTCTTTGTTATTTTTTAGGACTTGTAGCTATTGATGTATATTTCGGAGACTCTAACTCTTGTTTTTACCTTAAAGAGTATAGTATCATTTTCCTTTTACAAGTGTTATGTTTGTAGTTTGTTCAAGAATAGGTGGTGAACCTCCTTTTCATTCATACAAGGTCGTTTCGTCATCCGCCTCGCTGTTTTCAATCGAGAGAGCCGCCGAATGTCATCTATCTCCCTCCAAACATTGTTGTCCGCCCATATTTTAATTCCCTTACCATGCCTCCACCACCTCCTCGCCAAATCTACATCCTAAACACCTTCTAAGAGCCCTAGAAGTAGAACGGTGTGATCTAGCCTTACAAGCTTTTGAAACACGTACATGAATCACATGTTCTTTTTCAATTCTTATGGAAGATAAATCTCCAAATTGTACAAGCTTAGTGGCATTATTTTGTACTCTTTGATAGTTTTAAAATAGAATGCTTTATGCAAACTCTCAAGGATGCACGCCCACTCTGCATTCATTGTTGCCCAACAGCTAGATGCCAGCAGCCATTGCACCAGAAAAACTACTGTGACATTATTCTATCCATGCCACCTCATTGATCAATGGGTATATTGTTGCCACCTCACAAATCATGGGTTGCCGTGATTGCAATTAATTGAGACACTTTCTCATTCCCTAAATGTTATATATTTAGAGTATGTACAAGGCTTGTATAGACTGAGCACAAATTATGAAATGAACATAGCAAATTCTCTCCAATTCTCATCAAAATATCAAAGCCTAAGGCTTTATTTGGCATCTCCATAAGCTACAATCCTTTCAATGTGTCACCTAGAACTTACAAGCCAGCAACTCTCTTTCTCCCTTTAACCTAATTTTTCCTTAATAGCCTTCAACACTGTGGTCTTATTTGAACTCGCTTTTCTCTTTACAACCAATTATCACCATATTTTTTCTTTGCATAAATCACGGCAATACGCAAGCTCCTTTGACCATGGAATCTTTTGGAATTAAGACTGACGATTTAAATTCAATGAACGAATCATAAGACATCCAATCATCATATTGTTTGAATGTCAAATATTTCTTCAACTGGTCATAGTTACCTCACAACTTAAAGAAATGAGAAAAATTGGTTCATTTACATGGCAAAATATCTCAGTAAGGTGATCCCCCGTTCAGCTTTTGGGATAAGCAAAACTCTAAGGTGATGCAATAATTTAAAAAAAAATACATGATTCCTAAATAAGCGATCTGCAAGTTCCTTTATACAACAAAAGAAAAATGAGATGCGATGTATTAATGGACTCTAAAGCTTTGTGATGCCATTATATTTTATGAGATAAATATCAAATTTTCATCCATAAAGCAAGGACGATGATCCATCACAAAATACAATAATATACTAAAGTTCATTGGCAAACTATGACGAATTATCAATGCATCCAAATTGAATTCAGTAAAAATGTAATCGTCCTTAAAAGGTTGTTAAAAAAAGATCATATCCATAGTTTTTTTTTACTGGAATAAATGTCAAGTTTGATGTTTTATGGTGCACATTCTCGGAAAAGAATATATAACTAGATTAAATGAAACTATTGTCATCATTTTAATGGAATGTTCCGTCCTAATAATAAATGTGGTGGAGATCAAGTGTACTAATTCAAAGTACCCTACTCCCATGGAACACAAGTAGCCAAGTCAAACAAAGGTATTTGATAAGATAATTTTATGGTACACATATTCAAAAAATCTCTACATATAAAGAAAGGAAGTTGGATATTTCATGGCAAACCACCACGCAAAAAAATAAAAAATAAAGAAAGGACAAGCATACATACCGCAATTGGAAGAAAGCAGCACCAAAGACTAACTCACTCACTTTATTACACACACAGAAGAAATGAAAGAGTTGAAAAGCTTTTTGAAACCATTAAAAAAAAACTCCTATGATAGGAACTTGTCCTTTGCATTCTCAAATATCACCTAACCATCTCAAACATTCAAAGCCTTAAAGCCTCAGAGATGCTCAACGACTCGCCAAAGAAACAAAAAAATAGCTATTGTTGATGGGTCCTTCATAAACGTTGATAGCTAAGAAAATATTCTTATAAATAGATCACTCACACTTCAAAATGTCCTCCACACATCTAAATTATTTATTATCCTATTATCAAACCTAAATGCTAACCACAAATTCAAAATGCAGTGTTGTATTTTATTTTTGCATTATATATTTCACGAATAGGACACGAGGAGGATGAGCTACCATCTAGAAAAATCAACAGCCCAAGAAAGCTCTGTATAACTTGTAGTGTTTTCCTTTTTGAAACATTTAAATCAAATAAAAGGGTATATAGCTCCAATACCGATGCCTTGGCCATCTTTGGTGATTCTAAAAAAAATGCTTCTTTTATTATTAAAAAATATAAATATTAAATAATTTTGTTATGTTGTTTGCTAGTTAACAATATGCAATCATATCAATTTTTCAACAAGTAACAAAAGAATCAAAGTTACTTTTCATCGTAACATTTGGAGACCATCCTCTATACCATACATCTACGGAGCCCGATGTTTTGTCTTTTATTAATAATTGCACTCATATGTCATGAATATTTGTGCTAAAAGCTATAAGTGATGCATGTATCATCTTTCTCACCATTTTCACATGATCATTAAGTCATCTCACGTGAAATTAAATTAGTCAAATCTAACAACGAAAAACACTTTTTTAACCATTCTATCCTCATACTTACAGGAAAAAAAATAATACATGAATCTTCTCATATATATGCAACCCAAAAAAAAATGTTGGCTAAAGTTTTCTACAACAAGACTCTCCTTTTCAAAAGAGTGTTCCAAAATACTAGTTGCAAAGTTGCTTAGTCGCTCACGTTATAAACTGATTACCTATAGGGGACACTGAGTTCAAGAGAACAACATAAGTCCTACGCAAATTTTTCCACACTTCAACATCTCAAATAACCTTATTTCAAATATATTTAGAGGTATTAACCTTGTCCATACAAGTCCCAAAAAGATGAAAATAACTTAAGTCAAAGTAAGTAAATGTGCCTTTATTAGTTGCTCACTCATTCAAAAAAGGTACAAATGCTACCATCCTTCCTCGAGAAAAATATAAATATCTGCTGGTATCAATTTCAATGAAAATGATTTCTATTTTATTGCTACATAACCCAAAAGAAGAAATAATATTCAAAAATGAACTTGCTATAGAATGCTCTTACTCACACATCAACCCAAAAAAGAATTTTACACCAAAACCAGTCACTCCTATAAAATACAACCTTATACTAGAACTATCTTCTACTCAATCATTAGGGGGAAAACTTGAAGGTTGGATGAGTAAAAAAAATGTGCTGGCAAGATCTAACATAGAACAGAATTTAAATCTATGGCATTAGAATCTTATGAATAACCATAAGCGTTGATCCTCCAACCATAAATCCTTATCGATTATGGTATTAAAATATTTTTCTTGCAAGAAGGGACACAGGAGTAAAGCTTAGTTCCATTTAGTGGCTGACCATTAATACAAATTCCCCATCAAAGATTTTCTATGTTTTCCAATAAAATTTCATATGCACGGTACTTAGTTCAGCATGAAAACGGAAAAACACCATGGAAAAATGTAATATAAGAAAGGAAATTGTACCAAAATAGTACAAACCTGGTATCCTTGACAATGTCCGCATGGATGCGTCCATTTTATATCGAGCTGAACCAACACGAAAGATCCGTTCCCCTGTCAACAAAGTGGCTAAAATTTGGAAGTTTCTGAATATTTAAATATATACAAATACTATTGTGCTTTCCCAAATCTTACAAAATACAACAAAAACAAAAAGGATGAAAACCAAAAACCTATCAACAAATAAGTTAAACAATTACTTTTAACAATGAAAAACTTGGAGGTTTAAAATCAACTCATGCAAAAGGGATACAATATCATAAATTGCATTTATACGTTCAGCCAGACGTCCAAATATAGGATTGGCAGTACAAGAATTAATGCAGATAATAATAAAAATAATAAAGAACACTCCAAACATTCCACATGAGGAACATAAACAAGACCCCAAGTGCACTCATCATAATGCATGACCGAACAACCTAACCCTAACATAATTTCCAAATTCGTAAAATTGCAGTAACAGATAATCTGCAAACTATCATTGTTAGCTGCTAGATATATTAAAAAATTGCTTAAAAAAAAATAAACTTGAATAGAGCATAATTTAGATCACCTCGTTTTAACTCAATGCCCCAAGTAGATTTGCACGTTAATTGAACTTTGTTCTTCCCTTTATCAGTTGTAGATTTACTTCGCTTCCTCTCTCGTTTTTTCCTCTCCACTTCAGCAACAGCCAATGTAGCTTCCTAAAAAATTTCATGGGAACTTTCACGCACAGCACCTCCAAATTAGCATTTATTTTGTCAATCCTGACACACTAACAAATTCTAGGACCAAACATATTCACAGCAGAGTACAAATAAAGAGAATATAGTTTATTGTTTTCCGTGTAAAGAAATTACATATGTAAAATTAAAAAAAAAAAGTACAAACTAACACTTGCAGACAGAGTAATTCAAAATAATATGCAGAACAATAACAAATTACAAATAATCTCTACAAACATAGACATTATTTCTCAATAACGTATTTATGCATTGCCTCCACCAAAATTGAATTCAAAAATTGAGTTCTAAAGCACTTCATGGATCATGCAAATGTAAGGTAAAAAAATAATTAAGCAGATTTCAATGTTTCACGTAAGAAACCTAAAAACAACAACTAAACCTTGTTTCTCTGATATAATAATCATTAAAAAAAGTGCCAAAATAATCCCTGGCTGTTTGATGGGCCATTTTAATCCTAAAGTCTATAAAAGTTTCAAATTAGTCCTCATATAAATTAGGGCTAAAATAGTCCACATTTCAACCCTTATTAAAAGAGATGTAAATTGACACTTGTAGAGATTCCAGGACTAAACTGACCTCCTGCAATCAGTCAGGGGGCTATTTTAACACTTTTCTCAGTGATCATCATCTATTTTGGTTCCAAAATCCAAACATGTTCCCTAATTACACAATTCAAGCACAAATTTGAAAACACATGCACTTGTTTACTAGTTCATTCCACCAAAAAGTAAACAGTAATCTTAAACTAATGCAGCAGTTCTAAAGTTCCATGAAGTAATCATCTAAAACTAAAGGAAATTTAAAAATAGTAGAAATTACTTGGAGAGGAAAATTGCTCCATCTTATTAATCACAAAGGGGATACATATATATAGGGATATCAATCCCTCATTTACAATCTTACCAAACATATCTCACCTAAATTATGAAGGAAAATAACTCTGAATGAGAAATAGAGATAGAATAAACTAATTAAAGGTTTCCTGTGCTATCCAAATCAACTCCTCCAAGATTTGGAGGCCGCGGCCGGGCCCATATGAGAGGTGAATATGAAAAGAATCAAATATTCTCAGATTTCAACAAAAATAAGTAAAGACAAAAACCACAAGGAAAGGAATGTGTCTACACAAATCAACCTTTACCTCACTAGCCTTCTTTGAACGTTTTTCAATGGATTTTGACCATTTCAAACTAGATCCACTGATGCTAACAACACCAGCTTTTCGAAGAGCAAAACCATTAGTCGATACTTTGTAAATTGTGTCTCTTTTCCTCAAAGACTGCAAGTTCCGGCTGAATGAATAATAGAGACATTACTAATACAATAATAATAACAATAAAGCTAAAAAGAAGAGAAAAAATGTGATCTACGCAAAGGATAAACAAATAAAATGAAAAGCTTCTTTTTAAAAGATGTATATCACCTGATCAATGATATCGAAGATCTAGTTGAAATAGGAATGTTATTAGGAGTCTTAAAGTTCTTCCAGTTAACCGCTCTCTTCCATGGAAAGATGTAGGGGAAAACCCTCTGACAGCCAAATGTTGCAATGCATTTTTGGGACAATGTGTTCCCACCCAATGTCCACACTAAAGAACCTGTTGAGCTTTTTTTTTTCTGAAGAACTGCATATGCGATAATGACCACACAATATAAGCCAAGATTTCAAAAGTCAGGGCTCATTAAAAAAAAATAATAGAGACATTTACATAGACACGACACAATTCCTATGCATTTACATGTCTAAAAATAAACATTCATATTTACATGCATACCACTCAAATATTTAACATCACAACAAAAATATCACCAACGCTACTTTTTAAAAAGTGTAATAAACCTTCACAAGCATAGGTTTACAATACCAATGTGTTATAAATGTAAATATCAAACTTTGGGTGTCATATATGTAAATAAATAAGAATTGTGTAGTATGTATGTTAGTTTCCAAAAAACAAATTAAGGCATTTCTATACAATGCACCTGAAACATTACTTTTTACAAAACAACCAACCTCTTGCATCTTTTTTTCTTCTAATTTTTTACTTGAACATCAAAATTCACACTAAAATCCCAACACATAAATATATGGGTTCGATAGTTCAAAAAATGATTTTAATAATAAATAGTGATGTTTCGGGTGCTATGCATGTAATTGTCCCAAAAAAATATTAGAAGCCTCCTCAAATATTTGAGGAAGAAAGCAAAAAAAAATAAAATAAAGATAGCGTAAACTTGTGTGTCTGGTTTTAGTTAATCCCCCAAAAAAGTGTCAAAAATACAAAATTTAGTACAATACTAACAAAACTAAAAAAAACGCGAACATAAAAAATGAAAGCACCGCTGAAAAAAATAACAATTTAAAACTCTTGCATGAAGCCATTATGGAAAGAAATAGAACAAGTAATTCTTTCAATGTTATTGAAAAAAACTTACAAGTCAAACACAAATTGAAGTGACACGGCTATTTATAATATAATCATACAAACTAAAGAACTAACTATATTTGGAAATTGCAAACCTTACGAAAGCCATAGCACAATATAAAACAGTTTATCATGCAATGAAATGACGAATAAATTTATCATGATTAAGATGATTCGAACTGGAAAAGCTGGCATTGAAGGAAGAGAAAATTTGGATAGAAAGAAAACTTTGAAAAAAGAGTACAAAGATCTCATTACCATCGCCTGTGCCAGAGATAGCATCAGCTCAAAGAAAGCAAGATATAATCCATGACTTGTCAAAAAAATAATTAAAATAATAAGTTAAAAAAAAAACTTGAAAAACATGGACTTAACAATAGCAGAAAGAATCTCTGGTTGATTGCTAAATGTAAAATTAGCCATAACGAGTTAAAGACAGCCCAAAAAGAAAATTAAAAAAAAAAATAGCAATAAATTTAGTTCATAATAAGAATTTTTTAAAAGTTTTTTTTCTTTTTATGTTTATTAACTTTCAATTGAAGCCATGGTTGAGATTGATTTTTTCTGCATATACTAAGAAAGTCTTTTTACATGCATATAATTTTAGACGATCAATTCGATAAATGTTAGTAAAATCAAGATAAGAATACTCAAATTTGTCTTCTAAAAAAAAATAAATTACAAGAAATACAAACCATTATCTAGCCTCTTCTTGTAAGGAAGAGTGCTTCCTTTTTCAAGTGAATCAACTGAATTCGTGTTACCAGCCGGAATTCCTGTTACTTTGCTATCAGACGAAGTTTCATTTCGAATAAGCTGATTCTTTTTACTTCTGTGGTACAGATACGATGAAAAAGGCATTTTCTTTGGCAATTCTATAGGATGATGAACAGATTTCTGAGATCTTTCCAAAAGGAATTTAGAGGATTCGCCAATCTCAAGCCCTGGAGTAGCAACCAGCTGGTTCATTTTACGTTTCACATATATTAACCTCTTCGCACCAACTATTTTACTACTTGCGGTATCCGGGCTGCTCTCCAGATTACAAGCAAATAAGCCAGCAGATTGTCTATCGTGTTGATTTTCTAGATCAGTGCCTGGTTCAGGGCTCCTATCTATTGGTATAAGTTGAGGAAAATCTTTACAAGAATTCATGGAAAAAGCTGACAACTTGGAAAGAGGAGGAAGAGGTGTTTTTAATCCTTCAAATAAAGGATCAGAATGTGCCACATTATTTGGGCCTTCACTTCTAATTTCTCTTGCACTGGATTTAAATTTTCTGCCTGAGCAGCCAAGAGTAGGAGGTACCGAAGGAGAAGGTTCAGCACATAGTTTCCGTATAAGACTGTTACCTTTACGAAAATATGAAGAATTTTGAGTTTTATCTAGCCTTTTAGGCACTTGTTTGCTTAAAATCCCACCTTGCTTAAGATTTTCATCAGAATATAGAGAAGGGGTATTAATACGAACCCACGTCCTATGCCTCCCAGTTTGACTAGCACGAGCTGCTTCTTTGAGTGAAGCAGAAAAGTTTAGCTTGTTAGACCGAAATTTTTTAACATCAGCTAAAGGTGAGGTTTTCTTACAAGAGAGCTTTTCATCTGTCAATTTTGGATTCGGAGGTAATTTTTCTTTAAGTTCGTGGGACGGTAAGAGTTGTGCCTTCTCAGGTATTAACTGATGGTTCTGAATGGTTTTACCAGATTCATAGCCAGGTTCTGAAGCCTGTGAAACAATGGAGCTTAGAAAAAGCTCGCCTTTACTAATGTGTTCTGGATTTCCGTTGCCAATATGTGATTGTTCTTGGTTAGAATGTGATACATTTTCAAAATGTGTGACTGTAGTGTCCGTTTCCATGGGACCCAAAAGCAAAGCTTGCCCTATATTTTTGCCACGGGAATCTATTGTAAGAGTACCCACACTGTCCAGAAAGGTCATATTACAGATAGATTGAGGCAGCATATTATTTTCTTCGACAGTTTCTTTGCTATGTAATTTCTGCTCTGGAACTGAATTACTGATATGTGAAAATGAAGGAACTTGGGGACCATGAATACATGACTGTGGAGTGCCAGAATTTCCTGGAACTTCAAGTTCTTTGGTAGCAATGGACATTTCCTCCCGCTGCCTTACTTCTCCCTCTAACTTTAGAGAAGTGTCACTGCAGAGCACTTGAGGTGATACAGCATTGTCAGCAGGGGGCATGTCTTGCCCAAGTTTCTGAGGAGAGTTTACAGATTTGATTTGTTTGATTGAGTTGGTGGCAATATTTACAAAAGAATCATGTGCAGCGTGACCAACTATTATGTGCTCAGAAGGCTGTGAACAAACGTTCACATCAAAATCCGAAGGATTTTGGTATATGGTATCCGATTTCTTGCCTTGCTCCGACGAATCTTTTTCGCTATCATCGAGGATCTCAATGACAATATCTTGGGCTTCCGTAACATCTGTGCTAATAATGTCTGCAATAACATTATTAGATGGAGAGGCTATCTTTGTCTGAATTTTCTGGCAAATCTGTGAATGGCTAACACCAACAGGTTCAGTTATGCTGTCAACATTATGAATGGAATTACTTTCTTCCTCTGAAAAATTGAAAGGGCCTCCATGCTTGGGAATCTCTGTGCTATCCTCCATCCTCGGAGTCACGATAATGCAACTATCCACTTGACTGAACATCTTATCTGCTTCTTCAGCTCCACTCTTCTTATCCTCTGCCGGTTTTTTGACCGTCTTTGTCCAATCACTGGACATAGACTTGCTCCCAGGCATACAAGAAGATACTTTCGTTATTTTTGCTTCTGGTACTGAAACACTTCCAGGGCTGCTTAACTTGAAATCTCTCACAACTCCTTTCTTTGCAATAGAGCCAGGTGAACTTGAAACAATAGGAATTACCACTTTTTCCCTTGGTTGTACTATATACTTCTTATTCTTCTTCTTCGTGACTCTGTTAGACTTTCTGCTAGAGCCATGAAAACTTGAAACAGCAGGAATTATCACCATTTTTGTTGTCTGTGTCATGTTCTTCTTCGTAACTCTATTGGGCTTTTCTACAAAAACAGTATCTTTTATGGAGCTTGTCTCAGCACTGAAGGGATCTAAAACCTTGGTAACCAGAGTATTTGATTCGAATGAGCGGTCAAAGATGTTAGCTTTTGTCTCTGCATCTTTTGATATCCTAGAGGAAGGAGAAGAACGAGGAGGGGACAAAATCGATGACTTCTCCTCTAACCTTTCCCAAACGGACAATCCACTTTGTATCCTAGAAAATGCACTAGGCTTCAGCATAGTTCGCTTCTGCAAGTTTGCACTATATTCAGCACCCTTATTACTTGTCATCTTCCTCTTACCATTGTAACCAGTGTAGCACGCTTTTTCAAATTCATGCTCGGTATCCATACTTGGGATGCTAGATGTTTTTCTTACCATATGGTGAATACTCCGAAATCCACCTTCGTTGGCAACATCACTCGGATCAGATCTTTTGATGGATTTATGCCCCGCATACTGTCTTCCTTCCAAGCCACGATCAGATGGCCCGTCGCTGTCATTGTTCCTCTTTTTGTCGAAAAACTGTACCCGTTGAAGACCAGATCCATTTCCAATGATCTGGGAGTTCCCTGCCATGGTCCCTGTGCGCTTAACAACTATCGCATCAGAAGAGGACCCGCCAAAGAAACATGGCGAGCTAGGAGTATGTCGATGAACAGAAACACGGGATGCATCTCCAGCACTATTTTTAACCAAGCCAGCACCACGCAATCCTCTGGGTGAAGGGAATGGCGGAGCTGCTGGTGCCAAAGGATCCGCTATTGGAGGCAGGTGCTCGAGAAAGGGATCACGATAACGACTTTCTCGTTCATCCCAAAACCTAACCGGCCGCTGCCTCTTCCATTCAGAATCAACCCCTAAGTACCGATCCTGTTCTGGCTCCTGCCTTCTCCTTGAATCTAGGGCTCCATCGGAATGTCCCAATTCAAATAGATTATCATATGGCCGGAATCGATCAGGCTCCTCATCAAACCTTCCCGGCCCATCGAAAGCGCCGCTTCCACCACGGCCCCGCTCCAAGACCTCAGGCCGTGAGTACTTGGCATCAGAGAGACCACGGTGAATGGCACTATCAGAAACCCTAGGGAAAGGAAGGTCACGAGGATCAAACCCAGAAGGATTTGAGCGGCGCGGGGATGGTAAGTAAGAAATATCTCCAGCGCCATGGCCGAGCCGGTGTTCAAAATATTGATTACCAGGAATCCCCGAGTGTATTGGTCCCGCCGGATGAGGTGCAAAGGTGGCGAAAGGCGGATGACGTTGGGGCCTATAGTTGGGATCCGGCAAGTGCGAAATATGAGAGATAGATTCGTACCTGGCCCGTCGACCGAGCCGCGGCGAACTAGGGGGATCCATTGAAAAACCTCGGAAGCGGAGAGGAAGAAGTTCTGCCACAACGAGTCCACGACTCTCCTGCTGCAGTTGCCCGCCCTCTTTTAGCCGTCATTATTTGCTGGGAAAGCGGTAGACAGTTATATAATTGAATGAAAATTACTATTTTTAGACATTTACATAAATACCAGTTAATTCCATTGTATTTGCATGGCTAACATCTAAATTTTATTTTTCAAATTTATACAATTTCAATTTTTTATATCACTTAAAAATACAACCATTTTCACTTTTAAATTTTGAAATACATCTTTTCATGTATAAAAATGTTGATACATATATTTAAAAATTAAAGTTTAGGTTTAATACGTGAATTTAAAACTATAAATTTAGACTAACATTGATGCTATATTTCAATATTGCTTTGTTAAATTTGAATTTGTTCGGAAGACATGCCCAAGCGATTATAACACTTTGATGAAGGGAATATGAGAGACATAAAGAGAGATAGATGAGTATACAGTGACTTGTCCTTATGAGTTAAAACTGAGATATTCTTAGTTGTATGTCATGTTTTTTTTTATACAATCAAATATTTTTCATACATAAGAGGGGAAAAGCCCAAAAGGCCTATGACATAGAAATATATTTCTACGAGAGATAATACAAGAAAAGAAAATTAAATCTCCAACTCTGCTTTAACTATAATTGTACGTGTTATTTTGAGTATTACACCTCGGTGGCCCCGGGGTATTGTTGTTATTTGGTTCGATCTTTGAGGCTGTAGGAGTGGAACAATCAATATAATGTTTATTTTTTTTGCATTAAATTATTTGTTCGTATTGATGCGCAGCTTCGAAAAATTAAATAAGTGCAGAAAAAATGTGTAGAATAAATCTCGAGACAATCTAAAGACCTAAGAAATTGTGACGTGGCAAAACTGAACCCATAAAAAACAAACCAAAATTAATGAATATGCATGAATATAGCTTTAACATAATTGGTCGTGTCAATAAATTTAATATTTAGTTCAAAAGAACATAGTAAATCATGACTGAATGAAATAAACAAAATCTTCAAATATTAATTTCATGCAAAATATGGCTTATCATATTTATGGAATGTCCATTTGGGAGGCAAAGTCTTGAACCTAAATATTATAAAAAAATAATAAACATAAAGCAATCTCCAAACACCTCAAATGATTTTAAAAGCATTAAACCTACAACACTAATGTTCTTTAAGAAAAAACAACACCATAATTATAAGTTATTGTTCATGAGTAGATCGAGTTTACAAGCCCTACATTACAATTGATGATTACAATGCACGCAAAATATAAAAAAATAGCCAACTTTAAATTTGACAATATTGAATTAGAGCCACAACTCACAAGAATACCTGCTCCTAACAAAATATTTATTTTGACTCAGATGGGCTTGAAAATCTTCCTAATCATCTCATAATGAGCTTGTGATCGACACAAAATATATGTTAGATCAAAAAGTGTCCTAAAAACACAAACAAATAATAGAATGTAGGGAGGAAGAAGAAAATAGTATATAACAGTAAAAAGTGTGTAACCAGGAGGAAAAGGGTTGAAAGCATGACACTCTAATTGTCCAAACATTAGATTGTTCTCATGAGTGAAGAAAAATGTCAAGTTTTGATTTGTATACAGAAGAAGGTGGGGCTTTCAATTACCGCATCGTGTGGGATGCTAAAGAAAGGAGCGGCAAAAGTGATTGTAAGTGGGGGTGTAAACCAACCTTAAGCTTGTTCGTGCTCGGCTTATGTTCGAAATGACTCGTAAATAGTTTGTTCATGTTTAGCTCAATTCAAACGTCATTTGTTTGATTTAAACTTGTGTTCTGCTTAAAATAATAATATATTAATATTCATATTATATTTTAAATTTTTTCATCGTCGCATTTGCGTGCCTCGAAGGCTTAACAAAGTCGAAGCATGAATGAGAAGAAGTGAGGATTCATTATTTATAGAGTTTAATATTGGCGTCTTTTGTGAATTTTACCATGTGGGATTAATGGTAGGGGAAGTGCGAGAACACAACTTGGTTGGAAATTATTTTCGAATGAGAAGAAGTGAGGATTCATTATTTATAGAGTCTAATATTGGCGCCTTTTGTGAATTTTACCGTGTGGGATTAATGGTAGGGGAACTGCGAGAACACAACTTGGTTGGAAATTATTTTCTTATATTAATTAAATACATAACACCTAATTCATATGTATTTACACATCCAACTAAAAAAAATTATTTTTGATTTACAATGCCTATTAAACTTATATCAGGATTAATAAAATATAATCTTTTTTAAATATAATATACAAATTTAATATATAATTATTATTCTAATATTATCTATTTATTTTTTAACTGATTTGAGCCAAATCGAGCCGAACATGAACGAACAAAAGTGTTCGTGTTAAGCTCGTTTATAAATCAATAACAAAAAAATTAATTGTGTTTTGGCTTGTTTGCTTAACGAATGAATCAAACACGAGCTACCGAGTGAGTTTTATTTTTTCATAACCCTGATTATGCGTGGTTTAACTTCTTTGAGAGAACAATAGTGTGGGTGTAAAATGAACGATTCGATACATAAACTCAACTAAAACATACTAACAATTTCAAAACACGAGCTACCGAGTGAGTTTTATTTTTTCATAGCCCTGATTATGCGTGGTTTAATTTCTTTGAGAGAACAATAGTGTGGGTGTAAAATAAACGATTCGATACATAAACTCAACTAAAACACACTAACAATTTCGCATACTAACAATTTCAGGTTCTGGTCCATAATCCCAACATATTTAATCCTTTTGGTATGGTTGAGTTGACCTGTTAACTTAAAATTCACACAAAATTGCCTGAAAGCAAACCCACCAACTCAAAATTGGCTTGAATATGATCCACAACTCTAAATTTACTCCAAATTAACTTAAATATAATAAAAAATAACTATTATGCATATATATTAAATAGAGTGCGTGAGCCTATCATATTGAAAGCGGTTTGGGTTGGACTTTTTAAATAGTTTAATATTCGGGTTGGGTTGGATTAAGTATTTTCAAAACGAGTTAGTTTCAAGTTAGACTATAACTCGACCCATAACCCAATTTGACTCCCTTAAACGAAGATAGGAAGACTTCCGACTCGGTCGATAGCGACAAATTTATTTTTTTTATGGTGTTTTAGATGGCATGACTGCAAATTGAAGAGCTTAGACGATAAATATGAAAATTAGGCTATACTTAGTGGTATTTATGTAAATTTCCCCAAAAAAAATATCTTTATAATATACTCTTTTATGTGTTGTGATTATTTATGGCAACGTTATTATTATAGTATTATGAATTTAATTGCAATCTTATTTAATATTTAATTTAAAAAAATTTCTTTTTGTTTAAAGAAAATTAATGTGTTTAAGAAAAAGGAAAGTAGCATGTGATTTGTTTTTATTTGTCAAAAAAATAAATTCATCTTCAAATTTACTCCAATTTTCAGCGAATATAAACAATCAAATATGCGTTTTTATTTTTATTTTATTTTATTTTTGAAGTTGTCCATACACAAATTTTATACATGAATAATTAGAGGGTTAACATATATATGTTTATTTATTGAATAACTCCTTTTTTATATTTAGTTATAAATCAACCTAATTTATAAATTCCATCAATATTTTTATTACTATTACTTTATTTAAAAATAAATGCTATTTATGTGTATGTTATTTGTATATTAAAATATTATTAAAATAATATATATTTTTTAAAAGGAATGATCGAAGGCTATTAGACGAGCTCCGACCATTCCTAGGTGTATTAATATTCTAGTATCACATTCTATATATGAGAGGATTCGAACTCGTGATTTTAGAAAATTTACGACCTTCAGAGAAATTGTTATACCAACAAGTCACAAAACAAACACATTGATATTTTGCTTGTATTGAGATATGATGTAGTCTAATAGCACACAAATATTACACAAATGAAGGTAAATACACATAATATCACCTAACCGCACCACCTATATTTCGCCACTCCGTTCCGTAATCTCGAAGCACCCTGCTCACGCCGAAGGTCATCGTCCTCTTCCTCTGGCTTGTTTCTCGATCACGAATCCGCCATTTATCCCGTAAGTTCTCAGCGCTGGTTGGTCATCATTTTCGTTATAAGCTAATCGTCGCAGTTTTTCACTCACAAGGCTCATCTCCCTGTCCCCCATGGATTTATTCTTATGTTGAGTTCGGAGAACTCTGGAATTTTTTGATTTCAGGATTGTGTGATAGAGCTCATGCTATTGTGAAAGGAGAGGAGTGGAACTAGCTGTAGTATCTTAATCTATAGATTGTGCCGTTTCTTATCTATTATTGTCGGAGATCTTAATTTTAGCATGATATGTAGAGTTTTCTTTTGTTTATAACTGCTAATTGTTTCTCTTTGCGATGCTGTGTTCTTTATGAATTATTATTAATCACAAAAGCGATTCATCTTATAAGAGTGCGATGTATTCAGTTGGAGTACTGAATGTATGTACCTTTTACATGAGATGTCTTTCCATCAATGGTTGCTCTCAAGATGAATTAATGTACATAGTCTTATTTTTGCTTAGGTGCTTTCAAACTCATGATTATTGGATTGCATTTTAATCAACTTTGATTGAAGTGTTTACCCCAATCAACAATTTGGTGAAAATAAAGGGGAAAGAATGCACAGCTACTCCTACTCCCAGCATCCTATGATCCTATTCTCTCACATCCAAAACAGCTACTGTTATGTACTACCTCATCTACCACTCAACCAGCACAATCACCGCTCATCACACACCCCTCCACACAATCCTCACTCCCAATTATATCCAATACCGACCCAATCAACAGCTTGTCCTTCCCTCCCCCTACCCAACATCATACAATCATAAGATCCCAAATAGTAACACTGAAACCTAAACATACCTTCAATCTTACTCATAACCTCATCACGCAACCTAATCCGACTTGTTTTGCTCAAACTATGAAGCACTCCATTTGGAGACAAGATATTTCTCTGAAATTTCTCAGAATTTTGTGGCTCTACAACAAGAAGGCACTTGAGGCCTTGTTCCACCCCAATAAAACCTTACTATTCTGAGACGAGAATGGACATTTAAAACCAAACTCCACTTAGATGGCTCCATTGCACGCCACAAAGCTCTCATAGTTGCTCAAGGATACATGACATCAACTATGATAAAATCTTTAATCTGGCTGCAAAAATGCCAACAATGAGAGCTCTACCGATAGTTGTACTCCACCACAATTAGTTGGTATTTCAAGTAGACGTATCCAACACATCCCTACGTGACACCTTAGAAGGCACTGTCTACGTTCATCAACCCTAAGATTCATCGATGCACAACACCCAAACTATGTTTGTCTACTTAGAAAGGCTCTCTACGGGCTTAAATATATACCAAGACATGAGTATTCTACTTTCTCTGAATACATCAAACATCAGTGGTTTACCCTCAATGTAGCCGATCCTTCTCTTATCATGTAAATCAACCTCCTCATTTACACATATGATATTATCTTCACAAAAAATGATTTTTTCTTTATTAAGACTCTTATCCAAAATCTTCACAGTCGGCCACTTCAACACGAAAGAGTTTGGGCCCTCAACAATTTATTTTCGTCACCAAACTCCATACCTCTACGAGCTTCTCAAAACGTAAAGCATGTTGGAGTGCAAACCAGCCTCCACAACTATTTCACCCAAACTCCCCACTGCTCCCATCAGGCTCTTTTCAATAAATCACTCTCACTAGGCCAAATTTTGCTCTTGTCGCAACCAATTTATCAACAAATGTAGAATTCCATAAAAAAACACATTCAGTTCCTCAAACCCATGCCGCGACATTTCAAGTGCACCTCCAATTATGGCATTCCAATCCCCAAGGGACCTCACACTACGCCACACCTACTCCGATTTCGATTGGGCTAGTGACAATGCTGCTCACATATCCACCACTAAGTTTATATCTTTCTTGGCTCCTCCCCAATCCTCTAGAAAATTTAGAAACATAATACTGATTGCAAGATACTCGACAGAGGCCGAGTACATGGTGCTAGCTACAACAACTTCATAATTTATGCCAAGACATCTTCTTCAACACCATAATATCACTCTAACACATCCAACTCCGTTGTTTTGTGACAACATGTCTACTATTGCCATCGCCAATAACCCAAATTTTAGCGCTCACACAAAACATATTAAGATTGACTTCCACTTTATCAAAGATCACATTGCTTTTCAAACACTGAAAATCTCTATCACTTGGCTACAGAAGATCAAACCGCTGGCATTCCAATCAAGCGTTTCTCTATATCCACATTTTGCAAACTGCATGACAACTCCGAATCCGCCCTCCAAACCTAAGTGTGAGAGGACATCACAACAACCTACATAGCAACCTGCACATGACATTGCAGTTGTCAAAGATCTCAAGAAATATTAGCAGAAACAACCTCCCTTAATCTCACCTGTTTATCACAAAGTGTATTCCCTCAATCTCAACTATATACACTTCGATTGTACTAGCTCAAGTTATATATATACAGTTTATTACTTAAAAAATACTGCAGTATTCTCTACCTGCTTCTGTTTTTACAATTCCTGCAAGTTGACACTTTCTTCTTGCTCTTAAGTCTACAATGATACATAAAAGCAATGAGACTAACTATGGCCCATGAGTTAGATCCTCTCTAATTTTATTACCCTTTAGTTATGCCGTATTATTTGTGGAGCCTTAAGTATAACCTTGCTGCCAACATTTTTTAGCTGTAGGCACAGCTAAGATGGGGAACATCTTGGGAATTTTAAAGTTAATCGGGATTTTAAACATGGCTCTGGAAGCTTATGGGAGCATAGCTAATTTGAAAACATACTAATCACAAGTAATGCAAATTTAATAGCAAAGAGTGGGCAGAGTATGGAATTGAGCAACCAAAATGACACCAAGATTTATAGTTGAATTACTTCTCAACTAATATTATTCGCATTTGACAACGACTTTCCAGGGAATTCCTCCATTAATCCCTGCCTCTTGATTGGTTAAGTACAAACCTTCATCAAGTTTCTTATTGTCTGGCTCAAGGAATCAATCAATGATAACGTTCACAGCTTAATAGAAGGTTCAAGGAACCAAGCCATTATATTTTTTACAACTTTAGGATTAGCCTTGACTTTCTCGTTTCAAGGTTCAGGAAAAAATCTCTTTTATGGACGATATGTTATAGGCAACTGCAAGAAATTCAACTTAAGATGAGAAGAGATACATATTCAGGAACGTCACATATTCTAAATTTCTTTTTGAAAAAGAATTAAGATAATTTATTTTAATCGGTTGAAAGAAAATAAGTACATTCTTAATAATTCTCCTAAGAGAATGATCTCCATAGAGTTCAAGAGAGCTTCCTCTAAGATTTGCAAGTTAATCCAATAAAACAACTTGACTTTTGAGCGTGGGTGATATTCATGGGGATTTAGTCTTTAGATCATTTAAGCCGAAAGCATTTTTAGTTTGGATTGTGTAATTGTACTTGCAGAGAAGAAGGAATTTTATGTGCTTTAGCTGGAGAGGTAACTTCCACTTCTCACTAACCAATAATTTTAAAAATCATCCAATTGCATTGCTTGAGAAGCAACAGGAATGTTCCAAAGTTCTAAGGCATTTTTTTTTTCCCGAAGTACTAAGTTGTTATTCCCATTTTCTAAGGTTTGGAATTTATTCAATAGTTGGCAGTCGTATGATTTTCTGGGGATTTTCATCATATTTGATTGGAATTTAAGCTGTGTATCGATCAAGAGAATTGGTGCAATAACTTGACAATATTTTTAGATATAGTTATTTAATTTGAAATTATTAGAAGTAATTGTATTAGTGATGATAAAATATTAAACGATTACCTACAATTTCCTTAAGTATATCTTAAAAATGAGTTAATATGATTTAAATCAAAACTTGTCAACAACAAGGATTTTTTTAAATGTTAATATATAAGATCCGCCATTGATCTTGCCTTTTGTCATGAATCAAGCTTTTTTGAAAAAAGAATCTTCTCCAAGTTATCGGTTATCCAACTCAAATCAAAACTCTCAGCTTTATAAATCAACATTGGTGTATTTGTTCAAAATGAAAGTTCATATTTTTTGATAATGGGTTCTATATCTTGTGATCATAGAAGAAGGAATACCTTTTTATTTCAAACTCTTCATACATTTATGAAGAACCATATCATTAGAATTGTTGTCGGATCAAACATAACATGTATCTGGCATTGTGACTATAAACGTCACTCACTTACTAATTTTTAACTCAATTTCGGTTTCTAAGCTTTATGCAGCTTTACCAATCAGCAAAAACTACAAAATATATATTAAATTGTCTGTTATACTTTATTAATTTTATGTTGTCGAAATATTCTTTAGTTTGAAAATTACCGATAAGTGTTTTACCTACGAGCATAAAGTCGTTAATAGACCATCATAAACAGTAAAAAAAGACAGTGTTTTTCATCATAACCAATGGAATTTGGCCGTCGGAAAATACGTTTCTTTCTGTAATGCTAATTCCTCCATTGTATTTAATATTTAAATGCATAATCTTTTCTCGACAGAAGCCCGATTATGTGTTCCTATCTTTGAAAATTTAACCCAAATTCATTTTCTCCTCCATCCCAACGTGTTTTCATTCAAGTGAATATAATCTCCATCTTTTCTTTATGCTCTAAGAAAATCAATTATTTTGTTCCCTTAATTGACAAACTTGTGCATGTTTTTAGGTGCTTGGGTTTCCACTCTTCTCTTAACTTTTGGATATGCTTTGTCGTATTACCACTGTTGGCCTTCATTAGTTAAGATACTAGATCCTCTCCTTCTTTGGAAATCGGTAAATGCTTCCATTATACTTTATCAAATGATACAATTTTAGGGTTCCTTAAAGGTGTTAGAAGGTGATTTAGCGGAGAGGCCGCTTTAAAGTGACAAGGGAATGATAATGTACGAGTTTGATGATGTTTGGACGGGGATTGACGTGGATGGTATCTATTTAGGCTAAAAACAACAAGGACAATCATAAAATGACGTGGTATGAATATCGAGGAGGTTCGTGCGTCACATGTTCCTGCATAAGCTCCAAACACATGACTTGCAAAAGGAAAATGATGCAACACTTTTTAGGGTAAAAATTAGACATACAATCTCAAAAACATATATACAAAATCAAAAGTCTGAAAAAATAAGAAATAACAAGATATAAATAATTATATCATAAAAAATAAACTAA